CACACACACACACACACACACACACATTTGTAAATATACACGATACACGCAATAAACGTTTCTGTCTCTTGTCTTAAAATACCGTTTAATTATTTGTTTCTGCATTCTCTCTTCCCATGCAAACCTTTTTCGCGATTAGCGAAATTTACGACGAGCTGATCCGCGCGGAAATTAGGTTGTTTCACAGCCGTTTAAGGTCGAAACGTTTGTTTTTAAATTTTATTAAACTTTATATTTATTTTTAACTAATGACATATTATATTTACCAAGACATTTATATTTTAACGAATGTTGGCTCGTAGCCCTGTTTGTTTTAATTATTTTTTAGAATTTAAAAAGTTTGATTTTTTTTACTAGAAGCTGTATAAAATGAAAAATTTTGGAAATCTTAAAATATTTCATAATTCACGTACGTATATAAAATTAAAAAATTTCAAGAGAAAATGTATTTCTTGAAAATGACTTAATTCGTGTGAAAATTTGAAGAAAAATTTTTATTAGGGATAACTTTTTATCTTTGGGTTTTCTAACAAAAGACCTTTCTAACCTTAAACTATCACTGCACGCGTCACGATGCTACGGCTGGCCGACAGCGGCCACGCTGGTATAGTTTTTCTTTAGTTTTACTCAGTTTCTCTTTCGGATTTCACCATTTCGACAAGAAATTTCTTGCCGAACGAACTCCCGTGAGATTGCTCACATTTTCGCTACGATGAAAGTTAGGGAATCACGCGATGTGAGTTGGCTCACCTTTTCACCATGTTAAAAGTAGAGAATCGACCCTCCTTGACGTTGTAGAATCGCGCGAACAAACTCGCGTGAGATGAAAGTGCGAAAAGTGAGTGATCTCACTTGAATTACAGAATCGACCCCCTGTTCAGTAATCGTTCCAAAAATATTCATCCTGATAATAGCCCAGTCCCCGGGTGACTTTTGATTCCGATAATCTCCGGATTGATGAAATTTGGTGAGATGGTGTCTTTTGATGTACAAAATAGTAATTTATGTTGTAACGACCTTACTTTCGACTGCGCGGAGTTAGCTCGTCGTTTTTACGTATCTCAGGATTCGAAAGAGGTTCGATCGGGGAAGAGTGCACAAGGAAAAAGATCTCAGACGTTTTTATAGTGAAAACGATATCCAGTTTTTTATTCTGCTCGTTTCTTACGGCTATGTGTAAATATAAGTGATGCGTATGTGTGTGAGCGTATGTATGCGATCGTGTTTACAAAGTGCCGGCTAGGTCGGGCGGCGCGAATACCTAGCTTTAATTCTCCGATGTGTCTGTGTGAATGTGTAGTGTAGTGGTAGCGCGAATGCTTGCCACTGTGTCGTATCGCGAGATGGTCTATTTGTATCGCGTTTGCTTTCTTATAGCTAATCAGCTGATTGCTGTCAATATCTGGCGATCGCGTCGGGTAGTTCGCGGCGGCGTTTCGTAGGCACGTTCGAGTGCCGGTTAAGTCGCGACGGATTCCACGGGAGTCCAGTGGCTGAGAACACTCAGCAGAGGCGGAGAACACTCCACCCCGTACTGTTACTGGGCGACCGCGTGGAATCACGTAGAATAACGGCGACGCTAGCCGACGGCCGAGAACGCTCGGCGGAGGCGGAGTACCCTCCACCCCCGTACGTCGGGGTAGTCGCTATGGTGTACCGCGCGACTACCGAGAACACTCGGCAGAGGTAGAGTACCCTCTACCCCCTGTTGTGTCGTGCGGTACGTGAGGATGCCGATTTTTGTCTACCGGGAACGCCCGGTCGGGCCAGAGCACTCTCTGGCTCGTTTTTCCTTGACTCGGTCGGCTCTTAGGATTTGGAGAATGTTTCCTCGGAAACGGAGCAGGAAAGATTGGTCTCGTTTTGCCACGAACGCGACGTTTTATCTATCTGTAGAAATCGCGCTCGTCTTACTTCGGTTCGTTTCGTGGAGCGTTAATCGTTGTGCGGTGGGGGTCTGCCACCACCGGTCGTGCTCGGCGACGTTCGGTGGTTTTCGCCGTTGCGTGTTACCTGTGGATTATGTTTGCGTTATATTTTCGGGCGCTATGCGCCCTCATCGCTGCATCGCAGGGCGATGCAGCGGCGTTCGGCCGGTTGACTTTTGGCGGAACGATGCGTGGGAGGGATGCATCGTTACAATGTTTTGCGTACAAAATTTGGCATGGCTACGGTCGCCATATTGGAAAAACATCAAAAAAATCGAATTCTTTTCAGAATTTCGGCAATAACGTTGAAAATATGCATTGTACGGAAATTAATGTGGTATACAAAATTGTAGTTGATAAAATTTTGCACAATTTCTTTTTTTAATCAACTTTGTAGCACTAATAGAACTGGAAATAGAATTTTTTTAAACTGAGATATTTTGTTACTTTTCGAACAACTTACGTTTCTTCGCGCTTGAAGCACAAATTACGCTAAGATGGCGGCTCGTAGACAAAAAATGCTTCAAATAAGATCGAAAGGTAATTTATTACCCTTCAAATTGTTTTTTTGAAAAATCTCCTACGACCAATACTTTCCGAGATATAACCGCTTGAAACAAATTTTCTTACAAAATTTTATGCGAATTTTCGACTTTCTCCAGTAATAAATCGGAAATAGCTACTTGTACGATAAAAAGTCATCAAACATAATCAAAAGGTAATTAAATTTACTACATTTTACATCGAGCAACGTTTTATTATTATCAAAATTACTTCTTAAATATAACCATATTTGGTAAAATTTACGATTTCCTCGTATATAGTATATATACACATATACATATATGTATATACATTTGTATATTGGCAATTGAATATTTTCTTAGTTGTAAATGATCCCAAGCATGAAAAAAAATTTTTGTGACCCCCTACGATTGAATATCTTTCATATATAGCCTTTAAACATTCATTAATTTTTTTAACATTTTTCAATAAATTAGAGTCATCTTTCAAAACGGTTGTTATGCCGTTATAAAAATTTTCTCATTGCACAAGAAAACTGCATATGTCGTTTTTCGAGTGCCAAGTGAAGTGAAGTGAAATTAGTGCACGCAGCGAGAAAACTGACATTACACGCGGATTGGCTCGGCGACATACAGAATTGAAAACGGTAAGATTGAAGATTGAACAAGGTAAGTAAAAGAAAACGAATTTGTACAAACTAACGTGTTGATGCGACAGCAAACGCATGAATTAACATGAGGACATTAAGTGGTGGGTTTCAATACAATTAATTGCGCAATTTTCCTTGGTTTTCACGTATCTTCGGACGGAGTGACTGAGGCCGCGGCTCCAGGCAGCAGCACCAATTTCACCAGAGGCCGAACGAGCTCGGATGATGCTGTTCGAACGGTTGCGACCCGGGTTACACCATCCTCTCCTGGATGCAGCTTTATTATGCGAGCTAACGGCCATTTACTTGGCAGTGTTGTCTCCGAAGTGATGAGGCACAATGAGCCAAGATGAGGAGCGGCGCTCGCTTTGAACCACTTCGGGCGTGATATCAAGGAATGCAGGTACTCGCGCGACCACCTTTGCCAAAAGTGATCACGCATTTTTTGCAGATGCTGCCATCGAGAGAGAATGTTTTCCGGCTCCTCCGTCAGCGATGGTTCTGGAATGGCCAGCAACGGGGCGCCGATAAGCAAATGTCCTAGAGTGAGCGCGGAGAGGTCATCAGGATCATCAGAGAGTGCTTGCAAAGGCCGAGAATTAAGACAAGCTTCCACCTGAGCGAGAAGCGTGCTCATTTCCTCGTAGGTTAGAGTCGTGTCACCGATCACTCGTCGAAGATGATATTTGGTTGACTTCACGGCTGCTTCCCAAAGGCCTCCAAAGTGTAGAGCAGATGGTGGATTGAAATGCCATCATCCGATCCCCCTTCTGTGACAGCAACGCAAGCAATGCGACGGCCGTCGGTGGATGAGGCACTAAGAAACTCTCTCAGCTGCCGGTCGGCGCCAGTGAAGTTCGTACCGCAATCGGAATAGATGTCCGAGCACAGCCCTCTTCGTGAAGTGAAACGGCGGAGTGCGGCCAAGAATGCGTCCGTCGTGTAGTCAGAGACGACCTCGAGATGAGTCGCCTTCGAGCAGAGGCATACGAAAATGGCAATGAATGCCTTGTGTGACCGATGTCCACGTCCTCGGGTCGTGCGAATGAATATTGGCCCGGCATAATCAATACCGGTTTTGAGGAATGGACGTGCTGGAGTTATGCGTCCTCGAGGAAGGTTGTCCATTGGCGGCTGCGGCGTGACTCCTCTCCATCTGGTACACGTGACGCACCGATGCAACCATTGTTTTACGATGGCTCGTCCTCGAGGGATCCAGAATCGTAATCTCAACAAGCCTAGAGTGAGCTGCACTCCTCCATGGAGTGTTCGGCGGTGACAGGATTCCACCAACAGTTGAGTGAGGTGAGATTGTGGAGGCAGAATCATTGGGTGCCGTTCGTTGGAAGAAAGAACGGCGTGCTTTAGACGACCTCCAACTCACAATACTCCATGATCATCGAAAAACGGGTTCAAAGCTCGCACCTGGCTGCGAGGTGACATTGTGCGGTGACTCTTGATGGCGGCGATTTCAGCGGTGTAGTGAAGTGCTTGGGTTGCTTGGATAAACCTAAAAAGTGCGTCGTCGAGCTCATCGGGAGTCAGCGTAGACTCTAAGGTTCCTCTCGTGAGTGGTGCGACCTTAAGGTGCGACCAACGTAGGCATCACGCTGTGACTCTCAACAGTCGGTGAAGCGAAGAAAATCGGAGGAGGAGCTCTGGTTCAGTGACTGGCTTTGTGGTGGCGGTGCGTACGTTGACTCGTTGTTCGGGCAGTTCATCTAGTGCAATCTCCGGTTGCTCGCTAGGCCATGTTGACGGGTCCTTGCCAAGCCACGAGGGGCCTGACCACCAGAGGGGATGATCAATAAGCTCGATTGGTGCTATTCCTCGGGAGGCGCAGTCTGCTGGGTTGTTCTTTCCAGACACATGGCGCCATTGGGCCTCCGGAAGCGTCTCCTGGATCAGCGACACGCGGTTAGCTACATACGTTTTCCATCGAGAGGCGTGGCCTTAAATCCAGTGCAGCGTTACTTTGGAATCGGACCACAGAATGATCGGAGCTGTGAACAAGCTTAAGACAGTGCGTGTGTGTGCAATCAAATTTGTCAGCAAGCCAGCGGCGCACAGTTCCAACCGTGGCAGGGACACGAGCTTGATCGGAGCGACCTTACTCTTTGCTGCTAGCAGGGACACAACGACATTGTTAGAGCAGGTAACGCGGAGGTAGGCCACGGCAGCGTATCCTCTCTCGGACGCGTCGGCAAATCCGTGCAGCTCTATCTTGGAATCCTCGGCACCAGCACTCAGTCAACGATTGACTCGGAGATGCTCGAGCTTCGGGAGCTCTTCAAGGAATTGCCGCCACCGACAGGCGTCCGCTCGCGGGAGCGGGACGTCCCATTCCAACCGCTGCAACCAAGCTGCTTGGATGAGGATTTTGGCGCGCATTACTACTGGTGCCAGCCATCCATGAGGATCAAACAGTCGCGCTGTTTCCGCGAGAACGTGTCTTTTAGTGAACTTTGACACGGTGTGGCTTCGGATCGTGAACGTGAACGCGTCGTCGACCAAATGCCACTGTAAGCCCAGTGTTGCGTGACCTTCGCGCTTCCACGAACGTGAATCAGTGACGAGACAGTCATCAGCAGGAATCCCGGCAAGAATCCGATGGTGACTCGCCGCCCACTTCTTTAGCGGGAACCCGCCCGCCATGCATAACTGACGAAGGTCCCTCTGCATCGTGATCGCCACGCGTTCGGTGTGTGCCCCTGTCACGATGTCGTCAACGTAACAGTCACGTCTTAACACGGCGGAACCTCGCGGAAATCTCGCCTCTTCGTCATCGGCAAGTTGATGGAGTGTACGGATGGCGAGAAATGGTGCGCACGATAGACCGTATGTAACGGTATTCAACCGATACTCGCAAACCGGCTCGCTGACCGAGTGACGCCAGAGGATTCGTTGGTAATCTCGATCTTCAGGCGACACAAGAATCTGGCGGTACATCTTCTCAATGTCTGTCACGAACGCGTATCGATGCTATCGCCAACGCGTTAGTACATCAGCAAGCGAAGGCAGCAAACTAGCACCAGTCAACAATTGAGAGTTCAGAGACTCACCGGACCCTGCACTCTGCGACCCGTTGGACACCACCCTGAGCTTGGTCGAAGAACTTGATTCTCGGAGCACTCCGTGATGAGGTAGGTAGCACTTTGCCTGTTCTTGTGAGTCTAGTGACCTTGGGGTTATTTCCATATAACCTAATTCTTCGTACTCCCGTAGAAAGGCGTGGTAGAGCTCCCCGAACCGAGCATCACGCTCGCACTTTCTCTCCATGGCGGTTAGCAAGCGCTCGGCGTGTAGGCGGGTGTCACTGAGTGGCGTTGGCGACGAGGCAAACGGTAGGCGCATAACATATCGTCCACTAGCTGTGCGTTTGTGCGTTCGAACAAATATCTCCTCGCAGGCTTGTTCGTCTGGTGTGAATACGACGGGAGCTGAAGGCTCCTTTTCTTGTTCCCAAAAGCGTTGTACAAGCGCGGCTAGCTCGAAGTCGACGGTGCACTGAAGGGAACGGCGTGGAGTCACTGACGAATCCTCGTTGCAACCTCCTGAGAGTATCCACCCGAGCAGTGTGCACTGAGCGACAGGGTCCTGCGGATCACCCTTTCGCAAACCCTCCTTCAAGATTGTGGAGCACACCTCTGCACCAAGCAGCAATTCGATGGGATCGTTAGCCCTGAATTGCGGATCAGCAAGTTGAAGGCCCTTGATATGAGGCCACGTGGACTTGCTCGTCGCCGGTGCGCCTTGATATAAAGAGAGACGTGGCAGGATAAAAGCGACGGCGGAGACTTGAGCTCCATTAACCTGGGATGTGAGCTTGAGAGACACCTTCCCGCGACTGAAGCCCGATTGTGAGCCGCCGATTCCGAAGATGGAGACTGCCGCACGGGAGCGCGGCAGACGTAGGCGTTGCACCAGCGCCTCAGAGATTAAGGAAACCTCCGATCCCTGATCTATTAGTGCTCTGACCGGAAGTGGAATTCCGTGGCGATCATCAACAGAGAGTCTAGCGGTAGCTAGCAGAATAGCCTTGTAGTCCTCGTTCCGGCGCACAGCCGACAGCGCGCTCGCCTCGGAGGGTGTCGGAGGGATGTACGCGTCATGAAGGAGCGAGTGATGTCTGGCCTTGCACGTGATGCACGTTTTAACGGACCGACACTTCGAGATTGTGTGCGAGCCAAGACAATTGTAACACAATCGGTATGTTTCTGCGACGGACTTTCGTTCGGATGCGGATTTTGCCTTGAATTGTTCGCACATCATAACATTGTGTTTGCCCTTACACAAAACACAACCAGGGGCGTCGGCTGTGCGTTTATTGGCAACGTGCGATTTCGCGTTTCGTGGCGGATCTTCGGAAATCTTGTTAGGTTTCGGTTTTGCGGCCTTAAGAGTTAATGTTCGTTTGGCAATGAAGTCCATTAGCATCTCATGGTCTGGCAAGTCCGTGGAATCACTTGTGTGCGATTCCCACTCAAGACGAGTCCTCGGATCGAAGAGCTCGATGATGACGTGATTAAAGAGATCAAAGCCGTGGGAATTAATTGGCCTTCGTATGCTTTCCTGGCCATTTACGGCACAGATGGCTGCATTGTAAATGCGGCTGAGTTCTTCGGCGGTATCGCTTTTCATTTTGTGCACGGCAGTAAGCGTGCAAAAATTTGAACGCGACAACTCTCTTTTATTTTCATAATGTTTGCACAACAGTGCCCACGCACGCATATAGTTGTCTCCAGTTACGGTTAACGGACGTATTAATGTTTCAGCGGATCCCTGCAGGCAATACTTCAAATGGTGAAACTTCTCTACGTTTGAAACGGATGGATTATTCCCGACGATAGACAGAAAGATGTCTCGGAATGAAAGCCAGTCTTCGAACGCGCCCGAAAATGATCGGATTTTAAGACGCGGCAAAGTCGATTTGGTGGACAAATCGTTTCCTGGTTCAGTCGAAAGAGTAAGATTTGAAGGCTCGACCTTGAGATTTGTCATGTAGTCATTTAGCAGGCTACGTTGCTGAACGTAAGTAATTTCAGCGGAATCGGCAAACAGAGTCGTACTGTACTCACTTTCGTCGAATGCTTCCTTGTAGTGCGCTCGAATGAGCTCATGCTGCCTTTCAAACTTGGCCCACAGTTGTTCCAGAAGCGTCAAGCGGGTTTCGGCAGCATGAAGAGTGTTGTTTGCTGCACCCATCTTCTTCAAATTCGACACCGATCTGGCCATACGACCGTGGATGTCACTTTGGGCGGTCAGCAATGCATTTATGTCCGCACTCATGTTTTACTCACTTATTCTCTCTTTGTTCTTTTAGTTACCGCGCGCACCGAATGCGACAGATGCACTCCCGGGTACGCGATAAACTGCGACAATCCGGCTCGAAGGACCAAAAAATGTTAGGTAGAGAGACTTCGGTGAAAAGAAGTGGTTCCACAAGCACAAAAAAATGCCTAGCTTGGCGTTCATATAACTAGACACAATTCTTTATTTTTCTGTTTACTTACTTAACACATTTACAATTTTAAAAGATTGACGAAAACTAATGTTTCAGATAATTTATTATTTTCAATCGGCGGATCGAATGCGATGGCAAAACGGCGGGTTTTCTTAGCGGAACAGCAACGTTCTCAGAATTTCAACGGCACTTGACTGTGACTTCGATAAAATACAAATTTTTACTTGACCTTCTCATACTGGCCGCGATTGGCAAGCTTAAGCGTGAATTTTGCAATGAAACACTCCTGCCATGCGCGGCCAGAAACTCGCATCGCTTATTGGAGCGCAAGCGAGTTACGCTGATTGCGTCACGCGAGTACGCGTGCGCTTGATTAACGCAAATTATAAATTCCGTTTCCTGTAAATTGTTTTGTTTATATGTACAACATGAATCCTAATTATTCTTGACTTTCAGCAAGCAAAAAAGGGGTCCTCAAGTTCGTTCGACGATATCTCGAAGTTTCCAGGATACATGCTGTACATACAATTCGATTGAACATGATTTATAGAGGCTAATCTTGAACAGTATGTAAAAAATCATTATGAACTTTTCATATGTGGATCTTACAAGTGACTTTTGGCCACTTTTTCGGCGATCTATCCCACTGTGCACTAGTGCAAACGAAATCCTATCGATTGGTGATATTTTTAGTACAGAAATTACGATTTGAATCTATTTTCTGCAATCGATCCTTCTCGAAACTTTAATTGTTAATAACTTTTAAACGAGAGATGTGCAAACGAAAAATCGATGTGTTTCGTAATGTGCAAACGAAATCATATCGATTGGTGATATTTTGAACTCCTTTCTGTTGAATTCGAGCCGCAAACGAATTTTATACGCAGTGTGAAGTTGGCCCCCATCACTCTTTTGTTAATAACTTTTGAACTAGAAATATGCAAACGAAAAATCAATGTGTTTCTGAATGTGCAAACGAAATCCTATCGATTGGCGGTATTTTTAGCATAAAAATTATGATTTGAATCTATCTTCTTCGATTAATCCCTCTCGAAACTTTAATTGTTAATAATTTTTAAACTAAAGATGTGCAAACGAAAAATCGATGTGTTTCAGAATGTGCAAACGGAAATCTATCGATTGAGACCTTTTCGAACCCATTTGCTCAATGTTGGGGGGCTAGTGTGAAGTTATCCCCCCCCCAAAATTGTTTTTTTAAATATCTTTTAATCTAAAGGTGTGCAAACTAAAAATCACAGTGTACATAAATGTGCAAACGATGAGCAATCGAATGAGCTAGAGAAACTTAATTTTTCAAAAGTTGGGGAGCCAGCTTCACACGGGTCTGAGTTCTCATGACCGGGCTTCACTGCATGGTCCGTGTTCTAATTGGTCAAGGCGTTCACCAATCAGACACAACCCAGTCTAATCTTGTATCTGAACTATATATACACTGGAATAGGCATTGAGGAAAATTCGTGGCCGTTTTCGATCAGCCGTCATTTTGGCTTGGTTAGAAGATTGAGCGAATCAGAACCGTTCGCGCGCGCGTTGCGATCGATGTATAGAAATCTATATGGACATGAATGGTATATAAATACGCATGAATTTGATCAATCCACGTTTGAGATAGATTTTGGTCTCTTAATGGAAATCTAGATGAACGTGAATGGTGTATAAACAAAAATGTCACTTCAATTTTCTTTATTAGTACATTCAATAAAATAAACTTTAATAACACTTCATATTCTACATCATTAACACATATGCAGGAATTGATATATTTAATAAAAAATTCTTCCCTATGAAATGGAATGCCCTTTTTACTTCCCTGCTTACACCCAAACACAGCATTTCATGTTGATGCTTTGTATAGACACGCAATTTTATAATCCTTCAAAAATAACCTCATACACGATAATCTTGCTGACATTTACACACAGAACAATAGAACATACATAAAAAATTAATGTCTGCTAAACAATTCTCGTAAGTGCGCATGAGCATCTGAAAGCTTCTGATTCGCTCAAGCATCTAACCAAGCCAAAATGGCGGCTGATCAAAAACGGCCACAATTTTCTATGCTTCACAACGGAGATGCCCATGTATATATAGATTCCAGTGTATATATAGTTCAGTGAATTTTGTCGGTAATGGCTTGAGGCTTGTTTTCATGACCTCTATGCCTTATAGGCTTATCTCTATGTCGCGCTAAACCTCTTGCAATCGGGAAACTCTCCTCGAATACTTAATCTATGGCTCAAGGCCTTTTTACACCCATCTCCAGTGATCTTGATTTCGTCATTTTAAATTTTTTCGGAATCTAATTGTTTCTCCGAAACAAAAGCTCATACGAACTTCATATTTTCAGGGTACACTGGTTTTTCGTATCTAAATCCCTCGAGCCTATTGCTTAAATAATAAAAAATAAATGAGATAATTAATTAGCTCTACCAATCGTAATCTAGCTCTCAGGCTGACTCAGTTCTTCCCTGATCTCGAAAACTTGTTCTCGCGTCACTTCAAATTATTCGCGTTATCGCCAAAATTGTCTATTTTCTCGAAAAATTAAATCAATCCTTTGAATTAGCTCTAGTTAAACTTTACGAACGGATCTTATATTTTGCCCGCGTGTTCCTTCTGTGATTCTACGACGTAAACAATTATCAAAACTTATTATCTTTTATCTATCTCTTTTCTTTTAGGTGCGGCAAATTCAGCGGAGCTCATACGAACTTCCGCCTATGCATGGCATATCCCCATCAGGAATAATCACTAGGTAAAATAAATATTTTTGTTTAAAATTATAATTATAAAATCTTTGATATAAAATCTCTTATTCCCAGTCTTATCTGATATCACTCATATATCCTCTTAGGGCTGTATAAAATAAAATTTGAATCGCTTCTGTGCGTTAAACTTATTATAAAATTTATAACATCTAAAGATCGCCTTTTTCAGCTGTAGGAGCTGCTACTTAATTATTACGCATTTTCTCACGGTATCCGGGGGATCAAAAACTTAAAATAAAACATAAGACTCGATATAAAATAACATCTCTTAAAACTATATCTTTTCAGGTTGATTCGACTGGGTTGGAGGACTCTTCGCCGGGCGCGGCCGCTGGCGCCTCCTTCTGCTTGGCTGGTTCGAATGTAGTTGGTGGCATCTCGACTTCTGCCGTGTGCGAAGTGAGTGAGACAGCGAGCTCGATGGCACACGGAGGGGGAAGTGGAGGGGGAAATTCTCTGTGGTGCCCGGACCCGAGTTGCATCACTGATTATAAGCACATGACAATGAGAATATACGAACTGATCAATATACAACATTAATAGAATAATTCGACGATTGTAGTTTTAACAAGACGCGAGCAGGGGTGCGTTCCGAATGAACGTCAGGATGACAACTTTTTGTCCAAAACCGTTCTGTTTACCAAGATTTGACGTCATAACCGCGTTCTGATTTACAATTTCCAAACGCCCGGCGACAACTTTTCATAGTGCTCGAAACTCCGACGAGAAAGTCTTGCATGCGCAGAACGACATAATGTAATAAAGCGCGATGATAAAATACATGTAGAAGTGTGTTGTAGGTTAGGTTAGGTTTATATTCCATCAGTTTTATATATTTAAATATACATATCAAGAATATATATTAAAAGTTTTGTATTTTTAGATACAACTTGTTAGATACAACCTAACCTAACGCAAAAACATTCTAGAATCGTTTCGTTTTACGAACCAATCTCGATATGTGACATAACACTTCGTCTAGATGAACACTCCGGTATACGGAACGCACCCCAGCACGCAATCGTAGCGGAGGAAATAATGCGTTGATCTTATTTGAAGTCCACGACGTTAATCCTGAAAAACGTTAGGAATAGAAAAATGACATCCCAGGTAACAAAGTGACATAAAGTGACATCTTAATGACATGTTATTAAAGCTAAAGGTGTTATTAAGACGTCATTTGACATCATCTTGCTACCTAGGATGCATATAGAAAATCATACTATTACAGACATTCGAGTGACTCTACATTGAAAATGGATCGTAGGATTAAGTTTGTGACTTTGATAACTTTCCATTAGTATGGCTTAAATAACAAATTGGCAAAGTTATAGCCAAATCCGCGGAATCCCATTTCCGACAAGGATATTGCGGGGTCCTTTATATACATTTTCATCAAACGACGCGCCAATAATTTTAAATTCACACATAACATTTCAACATGGAGATTGGCTATGACCGATAAAAGCTTTCTTAAAATAAAATTACTTCTAAAATTGAAATGATTTATAAAGATGTTCTTACATATAAAAATGTATATGTTAACAATAATAAAAAATTATGATTTAAACCAGTGCTCGGAATTAGTTGCACATTTCGTGCCGATTTCTGAGGCGACGCCTACTGTCTCCCTACTATCACTCGAGCCACGGCAGCCGAGTCGCCGACCGCTCACGTGACGCTGTGCCTCAGGAGCGTCGCGATACATTCCAGTATGCTGGGAATACACCTTCCGACAAATATCATTAAAATATTTTTCTTCTACGTGATTTTTATTTGAACAAGTTTTCTTATTATTAGCATATTATGTATATGTTCTATAATAATATTGTGTGAAATCACTGCTTCGATCTCGACTGAGATCTCGAGTGACGGAATGGATTGGTGGACTGGACGGTTTGAGAACACTAAGCACTCTTCTTAACTTGTAGTATGCAAGTTTTATTCACACAGATAGACGTAGTGTTATTCGCGTGGCACAGCGAGAGAAGCGATTAACTACGGTTAATACGCCGATGCTCATCCACGACGGT